GCCTTGTCTTTGCCATTTCCCAGCTGAGTGACCTTGGGCAAGTTCCTTGACTTCTCTGAGTCTTATATCAATTGTAAACTATGGGTGACGTTTGCGCCGCACGTGGGGCTGTTTTGAGGACTCAATGAGCTAATGCGTGTAGAGGGACCGGCACCGAGCCTGGCCCTGACACATGGCCTGCTGGGGTTGGAGGTTTGTCCCCACCCTGTCCCATCCCTCTGCCCTTGTTGCGCGGAGGCTGAGAGCAGGAGCCGACGGGCGGAGGGAGAAAGAGGCCCGAGCTGACAGCTGCTTCTCCTTTCCATCGCTCAGTCTTCTGAAGGCACGGGAAGCCTGTCTGCCTTCCTCTGAGGGGTCTGACAAGTGTAATCACACAGTTTAGCAGTAACAGCAAAGAGTCTCTGGATACGAGCTGTGTCGCTGGCTGTGAGCGGGGCTGGCTGCGGGCACTGCCTCCAGAAGACACCTGTAGGAGATTTCCCCTTGATGCCCAGCCCAGCCTCTCCCTGCCACTCCCCCACCTGCCAGAGCTGAGGCTGGCCTGACCGGTGGGGCGCTCTGAGCCCTCAGGACGCGGCTCAGGAAGGGAGCTGAGCGGGGCTGTGGAGGGTCTGGGAACTAGTGGAGGGCTCTCGGGGCCCGCTGGGGTCCCGGACAGGTGCGGGAGGGACAGGCAGCTCAGGGCGGAGGAGGCCGTGTCCTTCTGACCCCTTGTAAGTCAGGAAAGATGCTGGGTGGTCCTGCCCTGGGGGCTGCCCGGGATGGAATAACCTCGGGCAGGAATCACCTCTAACCCCTCCTCCCTGCTCCTCTTGGCCAATTGACCACCTTCCTTTTTATTTCCCTGGGAAAAACAGAAGCAATCGGACGTGGACTTCACGGACCCCTACCACCACCTGTACAGAGGTCCCTGTGCCCGCATGGTCTGTCCTCCCCCTGTGACTGCGGATGAGCCGCGCGGCTCCTACGCATGGCCACCCCCTGGACTCCGTCCCCTTGAACCCACCTGTGGATGTGGCCCTGCTCCTGGCCCCTGCAGGGGGCCCACCACAACTGGATCGTTCCCTTCCCCTCATAGATACAGTGCTCTGAACCCTACACCCAACCTTCCAAAACCCCCTCTCTTGACTTCACCGTCCCTGACAGCTTCAGGCCCGCTTCTGGGCCAACTCCCAGAGAGGGTGCTAGTGCCCGCTGGGTCCAGGCCTTCCCTTCACTTTCTCCCATGAGCCTCTTCCGCCAGAACTGCTCTGCTCAGGGTCCTGGTCTTCCTCCACCTCCACGCTGTCAAACGCAACGGGCAGCCAGCAGCAGGGGCCACGCCCTCCTCCCTGGTGCCCTTTCTTCACTTGGTTTCCTCCCCTCGGCCCCGTCTGCAGGCCTTTCATTGTGTCCCGGCCCCTGGACATCGAGGGGCCCCAGGGTGTGGGCCGCAGTGCCTTCTCCTTCCAGCCAGCACAGCTCCTGCGTGATTCCAGTCCATTCCACCTGCTCCGGGGGCTCCGTGCACGGAAGGGGTTGCCGGCAGCGGTTGCTACAGATGATCACCGGCTGAGGTCTAGCCGGGGGCTCGCTGCCCCGTCTGCCTGGTACCTTGCAATCTAACCCCCAATCCACATCCCTAAAGACGGCGGAGGCCTTCGTGCGCACTTTCACTCTGCCCTCTGAGTCCCTTCATTCACCGCTTCCACTGATGCTGCTGTGTGTCAGGCCCTGGGGCCACCAGCGCACAGAACAGGAATGAAATGAGGTACAGCTCCTGCCCGTGGGACCCAGTGCTCTAGAGAGGGTAATAATGGCTCTTACCGTTGCTGGGGCTTCTATGCCAGGCAGTGAGTCGGAGGCTTCTGTCTTCACCTATCACCGTCTCCGTGTGTAGACGTGTAAACAGAGGGGCAGAGAGGCTGAGTCAAGGTATGGTGGACATGAGTTGAGAATCCAGGTCGTTTGGTTTAAAAGCCTGAGCGCCCTCCCAGGGAGCCATCCCACCGCATAGAAGGGGCACAGGACATCTGCCTGGAGCTCCTGTCTTCCGACCCCCAGAGGGAGCCACGTGGCCCAGCCCAGCCCAGGGGCAGGCGTCACATGGCACCTCCCGTGGGACCAGCCTTACGGAGCACGTGGACGCCTGCTCCCCAGGGTGAAGCGCCCAGGACCCAGGATGGGAGGGGGTAGGGCCCGTGCCCTGGGGATGCCCCCACATGGGAGCAGCCCCGCCCAGCCTCCCCCCCACCCCACCCCCCGCGCCACCTCTGTTCTCTTTCTTCTCGCTCCCAAGTCACTGGGTGACAGCCCGCTCCTCCTTCCCGAGGAAGCTGCGATCTGAGTCAACACTGGGGCCTCCACTGGAGCTGCTCAGAGGAGGCTCCACAGAAACCCTGCCACTGTGGGTCCAGGGTCTTGAAATCTCTGAAATAATTTTTGGGCAAGCACCTCGCACTCGCAGACTCTCCACTGGCACCAAGAAAGAGCCGCCCGCAGATGCAGGGGCCCCAGGGTAGGCTTTAACTCCCACTGCTGTCTCCTGCAAGCCCTTCCGTGAGGAAGCTGGTGTTTGAAAACGTGCATGTGCAGAAGCGTGCCTCGTGTGTACGTAGGGGCTGCGGGGATGTGTGTGCACCGCTGTGTGCGTGTGTCTCCCTGAACGTGTCTATTGATTAGCTCTTGCCGCACAGCAGAGCGCACCAGTTATCGTTGTCCACGCGTCTGGATTGCCTGGGGTGGCTGATCTGTGCTGGGCTCTGCTCCACGCATCTGTCACCCCCCCTGCTGGAACGGGCGGGCTGGCCCAGGCACCTTCTTTCCGTGGTGTTGGCGTAAGGACTAGAGGGCAAGCGGATGAGGTCTCGCCTGGGAACTGGCCCTCCGTTGCATCCGCCTTATCCTATTGGCCAAAGCAAGTCACATGACCACACGCAAAGTGAAGGGGCCCGGAACTGTGTCCCTCTCTCCTCAGTGGGAAACACCAAACCATCACATGGCAAAGGACGGGGATACAGGGAGAGGTGAGGGATTGGGGCTGACAGTGCGTTCTGCCTTCGTATGCGTGTGTATATGTGTGCATGAGCTCTTCCACGTGTGTGTGCAAGATGTCTGTGCATGAGCTCTTCCACGTGTGTGTGCAAGATGTCTGTGCATGTGCATGGGCGTAGATAGCTGTGGGTGTGCATAGGCGCCCTTTCACGTGTATGTCAGCGTGTGCAGAGCTCTGCGTGTGCACGAGAGTGTCAAGCCGAGCGCAGACCTGCGTTTCTTTGGGCGAGGCAGCATCCTTCAGACACACATACGCGGCCGCCAGCCAGGCAACACCAGAAGAGCAGACAGGCCAGTCCCACGAAGCGAGTTAAACCCTCACAGAGATACCTGTGGGGCCCTCCACCAGTCTCGTGCCATCCCCACGTGCTTGGGAGCTCTTGCTCTGTTAGTGGCCCTGAGAAAATTCACTGGTCAGTTGTCTTGTAGTCTATTATTACCAGATGTATGTGTGTTCCAAACAATCGTTTTTAAATTGCCTCATTAGTCTGTCTCAACAGACCCAATCCCGCTACACTTGGCTGGCTCAGATTCCCTGGGACAGAGCTCTGGGCAGGCGGCTTGCTTGCTGATGCATTTCGTCGAAGCGGGTGCGGAAGGGAGGGGTCCCCAGAGGAGATGAGAAGGTGCCCCCACCCACCTCCCCAAAGAGGCAGCACGGAAAGGTGTGGACTTTGGAGTTCGAGCTGGTTTCAAGTCCAGAAGCGGCCCTTTACAAACTGCATGACTTTGTGTAAGCTCTTTGAGCCTCAGTTTCCCCTTCTGCAAAACAGAGCCGTGGTCCCAGTATCATGGGTGGGTGTGAGAAGAGAAGGGCACCGTGTGGTGTGTCAAGCATCTGCACGGTGCCCGGCCCGCCTGGCAGTGGCTAGAACACGGATGTCCCCTTCCCTCTGCTTTCTCAAAGAGCCTCTGAGCTCCGGGCAGAGGCTGGGCCACAGTCAGGGCTGAGCAACTGAATAGGTAGCACCGTGGCCCTGCCCACAGGAGTCCACCTGACTCAGATGAGTTACCTCCGGGTAACTTTATCGGAAGACCTCAGGACACGGGCCCTAGGGTCCGACTGGGCTCAAATCTCTGCTCTCCACCCCCGGTGGCTCACTGCCTGTCTTCTCTAAGGCCCCCGTGTGCTCCTCTGAAAGCAGGGATGATTAATAGTACTCAGCTTCCATGGTACATTTCCTGCCCAATCAGAGCCCTTTCCCCCAAACCCCCAAACTCCATTTTACTCTCTGGGATGAAAATCATCCTGAAGTCGACCCATGTCTCTGCCTCGCCAGCCGGCGGATCTTGAAGTTACAGTCTCTCTCAAGAGCTCCGCACGGGAGTGTCAGTACCCATTACGCCGTGCAGGGAAACAACTCTGGGCTTCTGAGTTGTCGCTTCCTCCTGTCGTTAGCTGTCACTTCTCCGGCAGCCAGGGGCTGTCACTTCTCAGGCAACCACCAGATCTCTGTTCCTAACCCGCAGTGGACACTTTTCTTTGTAAAGGGCCACATAGTAAGTAATTTAGACTTGGTGGGCCACATGTGGTACCTGCCCCATGCTCTTTGTTTGCTTCAACCCTTGAAACGTGTAAAGCCCATCCTTAGCTTGGCAGCCACACAAAAGTCCTGTGGGCTGGAAGTGGCCCATGGGATGTGTTTGCCGACTCCTGGAGAGGCAGGTACACCGGCGAGTTAAACACGTACCTCGAGGGAGCCAAAATCAAGAGTCGGACCCTTAACCGACTGAGCCACCCAGGCGTCTCTAAAAATTTTTAAACAAAATATGACACGTGTTCGTGATTACAAAAATGAGTCACAGAAACAAACCAAGGAGAAAGTTTAAAAAAAAAAAAATCACCCAAAACCCTGCTCCCAGAAACAACCCTGGGTACCGTGTTGGTGAACATTCTCAGCCACCTCTGTCTGATTGTAAACACATATGGACGCAGTTTTGAATGAACGGGAGCAGACGCCACAGGCTGTGGTGTAAAACGCTTTTTTCTCTCGACAATATGTTGTGGACATCTTTCCATGTCAATAAATACAGAGCGGCAGCTTTGTGTTAAACGGCTGCACGAGCCTCTATCGCGTGTACGATCGGGGCTTGGAAATGCAAACCGGCATTCGGTCCCGCGTGGCTCCCAAAGTGAGTGTTGGTGGGACCGTGCTCAGGGGACAGCCGTGGTGGCTGAGCCATGCCACGGCTGCCACAGACGGGGTCTCACACTTGTCCTCGGAGCAAGTCCCTTGAGGGTGGGTCCCAGGGCGGCCTTAGGCAGGGCTTTTGAAGAGGGTCAGTGGCCCCAGCTGGCTCCCTGAAAAAGTATTGCTGTCCTCAGGGACTCGGCTCTCCTGGGGTTCTTTTTGAGGTGCAGGCAGTCGTAAGGCTGGGCCATCGCTGCAGGGCTATGGGCATAAGTGGGGATGACCTGGGGGAAATCTTTCCAGAGCAGTCTGTGAGAACAAAGGTCAGTGCCCCCGCCCCAGTGAAGCTTTTGGTGCAAGCAGAGGCTGGAGAGCTAAGAAGGTGCAGCTTCTCACCTGCTCCCTGGGGACAGGCGGGGGCCCCAGCTGCCGCCTCTGTGATTTGCATTCAGCCCTTGTCTCTGACAAACTCCGCAAGCAGCAGCCTGCTCCCAGAGATGTGCTATTTTAAGTGCTTCCCCTCCGCCCCTAAGGGTGCCATGTGTTTATCTTGCTTTCCAGTTAAAAGGGAAAATCAATTTCACTCTTACCTTAGGAAGGTTTGGGGGGGGGGGGGGGGGGGGGGCTCCATTTCATAAAAAAAAAAGGGGGGGGGGGGGCGGGGGGGGGCTTCAGAGTCCCGCCCTCCAGCCCCCTCCCCCCAGGCCAGTTGTGAATAAACAATAGCCTGGGTCCACCCAGACTGTGGGTCCCAGGAAGCCCCGGGCTCACCTACAAGGGGCCAGGGGCGTGTGGGTTACAACCTCTTATCCCAGAGCGAGGAAGGGAGGAGCCAAGCTCATCAGTGCTTGTGTGTGTGTACGTGTGTACGTGTGTGTGCACACACGGCTGGAACTGGTCCAAGGATGCATGTGTGTATGGGCCTGGCTTGGCCCTGAGCTCCAGGCACCATTCTGTTGGACGGACAAGGACTGTAGGTCTCGGCTGGGCCACCTTCCTCATCCCCCACCAATGGCTGCCTCCTTGGTGGTCTGCATTTCTACCGTCCATCTTCTTGGCCGGGGAATCCCAGCTCCAGCCTTTGGTACAAAGGCCTGCTCAGGCTGCCTCCTGCTCTGAGATGGGGGCCCCTGGGGGCTGAGCTGCTGAGGTAGCCAAACAGAGCATGCCATCCGCAGAGCAGAGGTGTCTGACCAGAGAAGGGCCAACCAGGGGTCCCTCTTTCCTGGCTCTGGAAGTTTTCACTGAGAAGAGCCTTTGGAGTAGAAGGTGTAGGAAAGGAGCTCCTTGGGGGTGGGGGGCGGATTCTGGAGACGGGGTCTTCCTGCAGAGCAGTAACCCTCGGAGTAAAAGGTAGCCATCTTCTCCCAAAGACCACCAGCCCTGACTGAAGGCTGCTGGGTAAGAGCGTAGGTTTGGGGACTGCTTTTCTCCCCCGTCCACCCACATATTTAACGAACATTTACGGACAAGCCTTGGGTTCCAAGCAATTTAAAAACCTCCTCACCTTCCCTTTGAATGCCCCCTCCCTTGCATGGGGCTGATGGAGACTGCAGCGACAGGGGCTAGACAATGCTCCTGTCCTCAAGGAGCTTCCGACCCAAAGGGGACCGGACCTGGGACCAGACGCATCGAGGCAGGTGTTCTGATGGGATCGTGAGCCAAATGCTGTGGGAACGCACGCGTGGGGCTGATTCCCTCTGATGGAGACCTGCAGGAGAGAGGCTCACGGGAGAAGTGGGGCTTGACTTGTCCCTGAAAGGGTGAGCCAGCCTTTAAAAGATGCCGAAGCAGGTGACACGTGGCCCAGCCCGGGGGAGTTGCTTGACAGATGTTCAGTGATCCCATGTGCGTGGTGGGTGGGTGGCAGTGAGTGGGCTGGGGCAGGGCAGGGGGAGGGGCTGAGGATCTGGAAGGTTTTGAGGAGAGGAGTGGAAGAGTCTCAACTGTTGTCTTGAGAAGATCACTTTGTAAGAGTGGGCGGGGGGATGGATTGGCCCCGGGGGAGCAGTAGGGTTTGGGGAGCCCTCAGGGGGGCTAGCAAAACAGCCCAGGATGGAGAGAAGGAGCAACGGCAGAGGCAACTGAAGGGTCTGGGCAGGGCGGGAGAAGTGTTGTCTACGATCACTTTGTGACAGCAGGCTGGGGGGTGGTACTTGTAGAAGTGACAATGGCGGGGTTCCCACCACCAGCTCACAGGACCCATGGGTTGGAGATGCCCATGAGGTCATGCGGTCCACACTCCTGCCCCTGCCCCTGTGCCTGAACCCCCTTGTAAGCCACCTGGGCTTTGGAACCGCAGTGAACGCCTCCGCCAGGATTCAAACATACCGGAACATTCCACCACACTCTTCTGGTGAAGTGGTGTTCACTTCCTTCCAGCTGGGTGCTTCCGGCTGTTACAAAGGTCGCCTTTCAATTTAAATGAAACTTGCCTCTCCACCGCCTCCCTCAGTCTGTCCAATTCTGTTTCTTGGAAGAAAACAGAAAGAGTCTGATGCATATTTCACACGCCTGGTCATCAGGTACTTGATGGCAATTCTCCTGTCCTCCCAAACTCTTCTTACCTCCGGGCGACATTGTAAAAATGGTAATAATGTGAACATTTATTGTGCTTTTCCTGTTCCAGGCGCTGTGCGGAGAGCGTCACATACGCCGTCTCAGGGGCTGGATCATGAGTAGCTTTGAAACGTCTTTGTAAGGGGTTCCGTTGTAATCCCACAGGCGGGAGGGCTCACTGCAGACTTTTAAGTAGGGAGGGGATATTTTGGGAAGACCACTCAGGTGGCCAGCGCGAAGAGTGGCAGAACGGATGCGGTGAAGTGAGGAGGCTGCTGGAATAATCCAGGGGAGGAAGGAACAGGGTCTGAATTTGAGAGGTGGTAAAAGGTGCGGCAGACAGGCATGAGGTGAGAGACATTCAAGGTCAAGTCAATAGGAGCTGGGAGGGGTTGGACATGGGAGGTGAAGGAGAAGAAGAGTCTAGGGTATCTTCAGATTTTTATCCTAAGTGGATTCTATGAAACAGAAAGCCTAAGGAGTATATCTGGATCATTTTGAAGGCGAAGAGAAGGAGAGACTACATTTGGCTTTGCACATCTGGCATTGTAGATGCCACTGGGACACTATTTATTGACTTTAACACGCCTCTGTTTAACATTTATTGAGGATCAACTACGTACCAGGCACTTCGCTAGATGGTAAGGTTATGAAAATTTGGTCACTCTTGTTCTTTTCAACGTTTTATTTATTTTTGGGACAGAGAGAGACAGAGCATGAACGGGGGAGGGGCAGAGAGAGAGGGAGACACAGAGTCGGAAACAGGCTCCAGGCTCTGAGCCATCAGCCCAGAGCCTGACATGGGGCTCGAACTCACGGACCGCGAGATCGTGACCTGGCTGAAGTCGGAGGCTCAACCGACTGCGCCACCCAGGCGCCCCTTGGTCACTCTTGTTCTTAAGGGGCTTACTATCTAGTGGAGGGAGACATACATGTAAATTGACAAGTGTAAAAAAATGACTACTGGGGCACCTGGGTGGCTCAGTCAGTTGAGCAGCCGACTCTTGATTTTGGCTCAGGTCATGATCCCAGAGTTGAGAGATCGAGCCCCGTGCCAGGCTCCACACTGGGCGTTGAGCCTGCTTAAGATTTTCTCTTGCCCTCTAACCCTCCCCCGCAAAAAAAAATTAGTACTACAGGGTTTTCTTTAGGAAGTGAATGGATAAACTGTGATACATTCGTGCGAAGGAATATTATTCACTACTAAAAAGAAATGAGCTATCAAACGCTCATGAAAAGACACAGAAGAAACTTAAATGCACATTGTTAAGTGAAAGAAGCCAATATGAAAAGCCTACACACTGTGTGATTCCAACTATCTGACATTCTGGACAAGGCAAAACTATGGAGCTACAGTAAGAAGATCAGCTATTGCCAGGGGTTAGGAGGGGGGAAGGGACGAGTAGGCAGAGCACAGAGAACTTTTAGTCAGTGAAGCTAGTCTACGATACTATGATGGCGGATAAATGTCGTCGTACATTTGTCAAAACGCTTAGAGTGTATAACACCAAGAGTAAACCCTAATGTGAACTGTGGGCTTGGTGTGATCATGCCTTGTCAATGTGGGTTCACTGATGGTAATAAATGTGCCATTCTGGTAGGGGGAGTTGATATAGGGGAGCAAGTGCATGTGTGGGGACTGTGGGTATTTGGAAACTATCAGTACTTTTTTGCTTAATTTAGCAGTGAACTCAAAATGGCTCTAAAAATAAAGTCTATTTTAAAAGTGAGTATTACAAGATGCTAAGATTGAGATCTGTGTAGGGACTAGAACTCTGAAGGGGGAGGGGTGGTCGGGAAGGGCGTCATCATGGAGGGGACCTTGACTTGTGAGAGACATTCAGTGGAGACCAGTCTGTAGCTCAGAAGAGGGCTCTAGGCAGGCGATAAGGATTTGGAATTCATTGGATCATCCGTGGAAGCCAGGGGAACATGGGAAGAGTATATGAAGTTCAGAAGAACGGAATCACGAAGGTGGGACCCCAGCTATGCCAGTGCCTGAGGGCCGAGAAGACCTTGGGGAGGGTGAGAAAGGAAGAAGGAGGATGAGACGAGAAGGACCCTGGGTGAAAGGAACATGCTGAAAAGTGGAGAGTGTGAGAGTGGCACTGGGGAATGGGAAAATAAGGGAAATAGATAAGTCCCCGAGAGTCCGTTGGAACCCACGGACTAGAGCAGACATAGGCTGGGTCATCTAAAAATGAAAAATTGTTCAGGGACCAGGAGTGCTGGACTATAGCCTATTTTGTCTGTCTAGGAAATCTAAAATAAGAAAACCGTTGGCCAGAAGGAAGTTGATCACGGAGCAGAAGACAGTGGGAGTGCCCAGAGAAAAGAGAGGCAGCGCCCACCCCAGGGAGGTCTAGAAGACAAGAAACCGTGACCTTCGGGAAATTCTGTTCCTAAAGACACATACAGAGCATTCAAGCTATACGATTTGGAGTTTTCTGGTCCCAATAGCAAGAGCTTCTCAAGGGCAAGAGGAATGGATGCAGAAGGCTGTGGTGGTCTCTAGTCTGTTCCACCAGACGTCTTTGTTCTGAGACTGTTCGCCAAGCAGCCTTCCAGCGCTTGTGCAGATCTGCCCTTAAGTTGCCAGGGCCTGAGTCCAGCCTTTTCCAGTGGAGACTAAGGATTTAGTTACCTCCAGCTGCTCATGGAATCCCCTATATGCCCTTTCTTCTCACTTGACCTCATGCTCCATTGACAGAAGGAAACTCCTTCACCTTCTGCCCCCACCACCAAATCTACTCAACTACAGATACTCGTATCAAAACCTACAGCTGGTATTTTCCTTTCCATAACATGGTTGGAAGACTTTGCGCATATGTCCAAATCCTCCATTTATGCCCTGGACTCGAGCCAGCTCACCTTCCTCAGGACTTTGCACCTTCCTTCCCTCTTGCCGCTCTCCGCAATCCTCCTCACCTACAGATGTGCATGTTCTGGAATGACATCTTTTGAAAACCCCTATAATTGGCCAGACACCTTGCTCCAAGCATTGTCCCATTTCCCTGCTTGTCTGTACAGCGAGATAGGTCAAACAAATAATTGCCTACAACTGCTGTAATCACGTCTCCCCCTCTGATTCTCCCTCTCACCTTTTCTACCTGGGCTTCCATTCCCACCATCCCACCAAAAGTCCTCTTGGCAAGATTACCTGGTGATCCCCGTCCCGCCAAATCCAACGGTTGCCCCTCATTGGCACTCAACCCTGACGGCTCCTCCCTCTTCCTTAAAATGGCTCATCTCTTGGCTTCTGGGACACCCACTCTTCTCAATTCTCTCCCACTTCATGGGTCTCTCTTCAGTGTCTCTGGCAGGCTACACATCCTCTACTTGCTGGATGACCAGGAGTTTCCCAAACTAGGTCCTCAGCCTTGACTGAGCCTCATGCTCACCTGTCAGGCTGCATAGTTGTCAACACTCCGCGGACGTCTGTCAGGACTCTGGGATGGCACATGGCCAAAGCTGAGCTCTTAATTTCTTCCAGAAATCGGTGCCCCGTCTCAGGAATGGGAACACCATCTTCCCCAGTGCTCAAACCAGATACTTGGGAGCCACCTTTGATTCCTCCCATGTTTTGTCTTACAGTGAGGCCAACTATGACTTCCGCTGGTTCTACCTAGAAATTATAATCTGGCTTTGCCAGATTCTCTACATGTCTGTAGCTACCACCTGTGGATACTTCATAGCATGCCCAGGGCACCCGATCCTCCAGTGGCGGCGTCCTTCTCCAGGAATTCCTCTCCGTTGAAGAGAACCCTCTTTTGTTTGAGGCTACGTTCCCTCCCCAGGCCCACACCCCGTCGTCCAGGGACTGGTTGAGTCTACGGTCTGAAAGCCTGACCCTCTGGCTTCCATTTAGGACAGCTCCAAGGACGTCTCCCAGCTTGGTGGCTTCCCTTGAGGGGGACTGAGGGCTCTCAGTTGCAACTTGTTCACAGTTGGAATTGTGCCTGCTTTCCTCACTCCCCCACAGGTGTCGTCCCTGAGCGCATCCCCCAGGAAATCACCTGTATGCAAATCACAGAATTCCAGAGTCTGTCTCCAGGGAAAACAGTCTACACTAGTCAAAACCGCCACCACATCTCCCCCCACAGCCCTGCGATAGCCATTCCGCTAGTCTCTCTGCTTTGGCCGTTGCCTCCCTCTAATGCATTCTCCAGGTAGCAACCAGACTGCTCTTCATAAAACAAGAACCACATCATCGACTCCCCTGCTTTAAATCTCTGTTCATTCACCGTTGCACTTGGACTAAAGTCCAGACTGGCCCCGGGGCGGGGGGGGAGGGCGGGTGCTGAGCCCGCTAGTGTCTCTGGCCTCATCTCCCACCACTCAGCGGTTCGCTCAGCTCTGCAGCAGCCACACTGGCCTTCTTTCTGTTCTTTAGACACCCCAAGATGCTGCCCGCTTTAGAGTCTTTGCATTAGCTGCTCCCTTGGCCTAGAGCGCTCTTCCCCCCAATCTCCCCATGGCTGGCTCCTTCATTCAAACCCCAGTTCAAATGTCACCTCCCTGGAGAAGCTTCCTCCGACTGCTTGCTCTAATATAGGTTCTCTATGTAGGGTTCTCTGTCACTTCATCCTCATCTTACAGTCTATCTACTTCTGGGCCTATTTTAATCTGTGCCCCTGTGCCTCTAATGCAATCTTCTTTGAGAGTAAGGACTGTGCCCGTATCGTGGAGTGCTTTAGTGCTGCGTCTGCAATACCCACAAGTATGCAAGGGTGTATCAAGATGAATGAATGAAGGAAGGAATGGAAGTTTCCAGGAGCCAGCATGCCAGGATCTAATCGCTCTTGAGTCCTCCCGAAAGAGGTTCAGATTCAGCGAAGGTCTTGTTGGGACAAGGCTCTAAGCCACTTCAGTCACCAACATCAAGGGCCAAAGGGAAGTCAAGTACAGGAAGGACACAAATCATTCAGCAGATTTAGTAACTAGGAGATTATTGGTGACCTCGAGGAGAACAGCTTCAGTGGAGTAGAGGAAGCGGAGGAATTAAATTGCAGCAAAATGAGAGTGAATAGAAGGGCAAGAAATGAATACAGAAAACTCTTGGAAGGAATTTGTCAGGGATGGAAAATAAAGGCTCACTTGTTTTCTGTTGATTGCTTGAGATGGGCTTTGCTCGGTTATAATCTAGGGGAAAATTGCTGATCTGGTACTGCCGTGAGCATCCACTAACACTCTTAGGGGCTGCTGGTGGTGCTAGGCTCTTCTCTACGCTCTTTATGTATGCATTTGTTTTCTGTTACTATGGAACAAATCGCCACAAACTCGGCAGCTTGCAACAACACATATTTGTCATCTTATAGTTTCTGCGGGTCAGGAATCCTGATATGGCAGAGTTGGGTCCTCTGCTCTGGGTCTCAAAGCTTACAGTCGAGGTGGCAGCTGGGTTGAATTCTCATCTGGAGGCTCAACTGGGGCAGACTTCACTTCTA